AACTTTGAAGTATTTACCATGCAGCGAGACCGTCATCTTAGACGTTACCCATGATGCTTTTAGAGTTTGAGCTGCATGGTTTCATTTAAGTTTTTCTTTCTCAAATCAACTTATAAATTTTAGTTTTTAACCAAAAATGTTAAGAAAAGCTGTTTACTGTACAATGTAGTAATTTATTAATATTATAAATAAAGAACGCATTTAAAATAACTGTTTCAATGTGAGCCTCGTTTCCATGTCACAGCAATATTTTTGAAAAAAAGAAGTACGTAAAAAATACTGAAAGCTACTCTTTCACGATTGCTATCATGTAAATTTGAAAAGTCCTTCATACAACCTTTCATCAGATGTCACTCACATTTTCTCCCCTCGAGTGGTACCGAGAACCTGCCCTGGCCCATGGACTAAAACCCGATCGCGGCTACAACTTCCTCTAGTCCTCTGACGATTTTTAATAAGTCATAAAAAACCCTAAAAGCTGTCTAAACCCAAAGTACGTTATTTTATAGCCGCGTCTCGCAAACAGACACGATCATAGAGGAAACTCTTATGCTAAAACTTATTGGTAACCCTTACAATGCCGTTCAACAGATCTCTATGTTGAAGACCTCCCGACCATCTTCTGACCTCGTTTGCTGGACATTTGGAAACTAAATGTTCTTGTGTGAAGCAACGTATTCCATGTGAGAGAAATATGTTCCGATTACCGTACATCATCTTTAGAACGATCAAAAGCCGGATACAAATGAGATATAGAGTGAAATGAAAAAGATTAAAGATGCGACTAGAGATGACATAATACATCATATATGAACTCAGTTAAATGACCTTGCTCTCCATGAGTTCTCGTAGCTCAGTGGATAGAGCGCCCGCCCGGTGTTCGGGAGGTCATGGGTTCGATTCCTGTCGGGGACTCAGAATTTTTCTTTGTCCCACGCTCGTGTCATGTTGATTAATTCACCTTCACAATAGCTAATAGTGTTTAAAATTAAACAGAGAGAGTAATATTGAAGTGTTTAACCGACCAATAGAAGGAAAATAGTTTCCAGTCAATGTAAGACGCGTCCTTGACCTTCAATTGAAGCTAACTAAGATGAAAAGACGATGCAAAAAAATTTCATGTAGCATGCTTGTTTTGTAGTGATCTAAAAGGTCTACCATCTACTCTTCTCTTAGTTTCATCTGTGTATAATAGAAGACATCTGCACTGAGACGATGTCACGTGTCATTCAAAGCAAAGCTCTATTGTGTGCTTTGTGGTTCACCAGTAGTGTAAACCTGCTGTGTCGTTAGTGTGCATGCGCACAGGACCAAAACTGCGGTTGGCCACAGAGAAATGTTTCATGCCCGTTGTTTTGGAGTAAACGTTACAGCGAGAAGGTTAGACCTATTAGGGTCAATGATTCACTGCTTAAAAAAAATTAGTGGATACACACATGACCATGTACAGAAACAACTGTTTTAGGCGGCGATAAAGAACTTGTTTAAGAACTTGCTCAGCCCGATTTCTCAAAAGAAACTGATAGTTTTGGCATTATGTCGGTTTGGTTTTAAGGTGACTGACATTAGTTTACAGCATTGTTCACAGAACTTTGATCGATCAATACTACCTTTCGTCTTCAGCAAACACTACATTGATGGCATCAAACAAATGCCCAACACATGTCAGGATTCAGCTTTTTGTAAAGTTTAAAAAAAAAACAATTGTGGGAGCGGACTCAAGGTAAACTTAAATTTTCGAAAAAATGGGGTGGTGTATTTAAAAATGCTGACTACATTTCTATAATAAAGATGGAAGTTACTGGACTCGTTGTTTAGTTATTTTTAAAGGTAATTTAAGGGTGTTTTAAAGGGTTATACTGTTGATATGGTAGCCTTTTGCATTATGAAAGTGATCATGACCAAAACGTACTCAGCAATCATTGGCCATTTGTTGGAAAAAATGCTGCAAACTGTCGTTAGCCGACTTCAGGAATTAAGCGGAAATGAGCGCCATCGTGCTGTGCATGTAACTAAAACATTCAGTTTTAATGTTGATTGGAATTGCACTTCTCCTTAAAAAAATAGCGGAGCACGTTTTGAGAACAAATGAGCTGATCACCAAAATTAACTTAAGCTATGATAAAGATTCAAATTCTCTCAACTTGTTGAGTGTTGTCTCGCCTTTTGAAGTGAAATGCCAGTAGGGAAAAGTTGAATGTTGACTACGGCTTAAAATGATTGACTGTTGAGATTGTTATCGCACATTTCGCCGCCGGGCATTGAGAAGTGCGCTTCCCTACAGTTTTGATACACGGGAGGTAGTGTTAGCACTTAATTCTCAGTGGCGAAAATCGCTCCTGGCCTCGCCTCCGGCAACTCACTTAGCAAACTTAGCGTGGAGTCGTAATTCAGTCGCTCTTAAGGATCGAACAATGTAACCCAGTCAATAATACTTTCACAATCGTGCCTTCTGCCGTATTCCAAGCTTAAATTTACCAATCCCTAACATTTTTCGCCGCTACAAATTATTTTGCGGTCAAATCGCTCCCAAGCTTATCCTCATGCATTAATTTTTAGACAATAAGGTAACTTGATTTTTCTCTCACTGTAGTTGTTTAAAATGTTCGCCAAAATTTTGATGCATTTCAAGCTGTCTGTTCCTGGTATTTTTAGTAATGCCACACTCTTGCGGCTAAGAAATGGCAATTTTTCTGATATGTTTCAACTTGGCATTAGCTTAATAATTCAGCTTACAAAATCTTGAAGCGGGCACATTTCGGCTGCATTATTTAGCAGAGGAAGTAGAAGGTGATTCGAGAAGAAATCATAATAGTTAAATTATTAATAACATCACTGTAGGATTCAATTAAGACAGTTAGAGCTTATCGTTGCCTGAAGATAAGAATTATGGTAGCACAAGACGTTGAAAAACCAAAACTTGTCCCTTGCACGGTCAAAGAATCATCGCCGGACCAAAACTGTCAGATTTAGAAATTTTACAGAAAATCAAAAATTCGGGCTTTGGAAGGATAAAGTCTTGTTATTGTCAGAGAGACAGAATTTCACTTAAAGCTAATACATTTGTTTATATTGTATTTAAAGAACATGAAAATGGTTACCCTTAATGTCTCTAGGGTTTTTTTCTGTTTTCAGCCGCGGTCGTAACTGTGGTCCCGGATATTTTTTTGACAACCAGGTCTATTAACTCTCGACTAGTTTGTCATTTGACTTCTTGCGATAAAACGTTTTGGTTACTGTTATCCGGCATGAATACACGATGAGCAGTGCTACAGGCCACCTGCTTGGGAACAGAGGGTTGATATTTACGTATTTACCGGTGAATAAGGTCTAGCACGAGCTTCGGCCACAACCATCTGGGAATAACCAGGTATGGAACTTATGCCATAAAGAAACCTAAATTCGACTAAAATTAATGGATAAAGGCCGAAGGTTGCAAATATGTTATTCTACGGAGTTAAACCTCGTTTTTTTGCATATCGAATTCAACGATTTTGTGATAAGGAAACATACATTCTCTTCCAAATTGATTTTTTTTTTCTCGAGCAGGTATTTTCAACGCGGTACAAAAATTACAGAGAATACCTGCATGAGACAGCTACCGTGATACCTAATACACTACAAGCATGTGAAGATGTGATGGGTTAGAAATGATGAAAAATTTAAATAACATGGCAAATGTTCAAAGCCGGTCAACAGTAAGTTTGATAATCCCTAAATGAAGGAAAAATTAGAAAAAAAGCTAGAGCTAATGTCCTTGTCGGTAAATGTCACTACTGCAAATTCAATACAGTTTAGAATTTCTAGAATATATTTAACATTTACCTACTTCAAGAGAGTAATAAACAAAATAGAGTAGGAATGATACGAGTCGCTCTCAAGAGCTCCATTTAATTATTTGCAAACGTTCTGTTCATATTTTGAATTAAGCATTTTAAATTCAAGATGTTACTATTTAAAGAAAAACTACATCGTCGAAATTTCTATTGTTTTTTTTTGGCATTTTCAAAGTCGTTGAGAAACATTTTGATTTATTCTTTCTTACTCGAATATGGAAGACTGAAATAACGCGTTTTGTACGCTATTTATATTTCTGTTAATTTTAATAATTTACTCAGAAGTACGTAACTAAATGCAGAAATGTTTTTCATTATCTTTCCTGCTGCCTAAGTTGACAAAAAGATGACCTAACTGAAGCAGCAACTGAGTGAAAATAATTAACAGTAAAACGGTACGAGCGACATTTGAAGTTTTAAATTTTTAAAGGGTGATCAACATGTCATTTCTCTTTACAATATCAGCACTCTTTGAAAAAGACAGGTGATGAGATTAAAAAAATTCATCAATTTGGGAACATCGTCTTGATGTACCGCCAAATTATCAGAACTTTAAACATTGAAAGCAACCCTATACATTTCGGGCTGGGTTTTTTGTTCTTGTTGTTGAAATATATGAATTGCCATGATCTCGTTTTTTGCAGAAATTCTTAAATTAAAACCAACAAGATTTTTTTGATACAAAAAAACTTATCAAAAGATAAAAACATTTTCTTAACGAGTTGCGTAAGAAAACTTAATTTAAGAAGGTCTAATCTATTTCTTTAACTAACGAGAAAGTGATGTATGGAAATTGACTTGAAGTGACCGTGTCAACAAAGTTGTTAGTAAAATTTATTGTTTTCTAATTTTCTTTTTGTAATCAATTCCTAGTCAGCTTTTGATTTAACGTGAATTAATGTACAATTTCTGAAAATGCATATCACGCTCAATTAAGTAGTGTTACAAAGCTTCTCTTCACTTTACCAGTCTCTACTACATCATCATCTCAGCATCTCTTTTACGAAACGCAGAAAAGTGTGGGAACTGATGAACTTTTTCCATTTCTTCTTGGGTAACAAGTAAAATGTGCACCCAATTTTTGAACCAATTTATGAGATCAGTAGTGTAGCGGACAACCAAGGCGCACAAATTACTACTTGATTACCATATAGATTGTAATCTTTAACAAAGTGTCTTCTCTTTGAACAGTAGTACACAGAAGAGTTGAAGAAAAACTGTGGGATTGGAACTATAAAAGGTGCAATCGACTCAGTGTGTTTTCGATTCAATAGGAAAACGATTTTACTAGTTTACTTTCTTGATTATATTACTTTCAACAGACATGATCACCTATTGTATCTTGGGCAAAGTTCTTCACGGAGATTGCTGGGAAAAATGTTATCTAAATTCCAGGAATTTTCGTTGAATTTTAAATTTGGAATGAATAGTTTAAATTAATAATCCTCCGTACGAAAATGAAAATGAAAACACTGACAATGCTCATAAATACTGACAGGAAAGTTCTAAAACCTTCAAACCTAGTATGCACAGTGTTGTTAGTACAGAGACAAAAAGTACTTTGTTAAAATGCAAAGCCGCCATGTATTTTTCCTACGAAGGATTGAACAGCTGTGGATGGACACTGGTTACTTTCTGTTCTGTTTTATTTAGATTCTTTCTTGAAAGTAGAAATTGATTTTGACAACCACAAGGCTCAAATTCAGGTCTTTTCAGGTGTAATTGCGCGAAACAATTCAAATGGCGTTTTCAAGAGGACTATTGTTGTTTCTTCTGCTGCCCATGAAAATCTCTCATGAAAGGTAAGTAGCCCGCATTAGAAATTTTATCACCTTTATACTTAAAAGGCACCTAACCTCATTACCTTTAACTATGTCAAATAGCGAAATCACACTTGTGAAGAAATGGGATGGGTTTCGGGCGCTGAATTCATCTGACGCTGCTATAAAGAGTGCGACTGCTCAGTTATTATTCGCAATAATTTGAACTTTGACCCATGGTAGCTCCGGTGTGCTCTTTAAGCGCCATGACGGCTAATTCACCTAATGAGCATTGAGAAAATCTAAATACGGTCTACACCGTCCTGCTGGGGTTGAAAAGTTTAACGACTTCTGTTGAAATGATGCCAAAAATGCAAAAATGATACGCTCTGAACAGTCACCTTTATGCTCAGTATTCGGATTTACTGTGAGTTTTTGTGATCTGTCTTACTAGGCACATGTATAATTCACTTTTTGTTTGTATTGTTCAGTGAAAGCCCTTCTATCGGTCGTACGGAAATAGCCAATGCTTCGGAAATCCTTGACAGATATTTGAAGAAGAAATGCTACGACAAAAGGACCAGACCTAACGTAACTGGTATTTATTTCCGAGAAATACGTGATGTTAATAATAATAATAATGACTTTATTATCGTGTCAATTACATATAGCAGTGGAGAATCCCCACTGCTAATAGGGGACATCTAACTAGAACTATCTAAATTTAGTATCACCCAACCAGTGGACTAATACAAATCCTGCATTTTGATTGGCTGCGCTACTAGAGGACTATTAGTAATAGTCCTCGAGTAGCGAAATTGGCGCAATCGAGCGTGACGCTTTCTTTCGTT